ACTTGCCAAAAAGTCTAGGCTGGCTAGCCAGCAGGCCCAGGATCTGCTCATCTGGGCATCACCAACTCTGGGATTACAACTGCTTTTTTAAGTGGGTTCTGGGAATAAAGTCAGTGCATCGTGTTTGCACAGCAAGCACTCTTCCAACTGAGCAACCTTCCTAAACCCACTCCAGTGTGTGTGTGTGTGTGTGTGTGTGTGTGTGTGTGTGTGTGTGTGTGTGTGTGTGTGAGAGGGGGGGGGGGGACGGAAGGAGGGAGGGAGAGAAGTGTGGGAAAATGCTCTCATGACACACAAGTGGAGATCAACATTCAGGAGTTGGTTCTTCCCTTCCTCTGTGGGTTCCAGGAACTGGACTTGGGTCATCAGGCTTTTGGGGCAAGCACTTTTACACACTAAGTCATCTTAAGCCATTGGAGGGGGGAAAATGCCAGCTAGATGGTGACACACGCCCGTCTCTACTCAGGAGACAGGAGGATCACTACAAGTTCAAGATCACTAGTCTACATAGACACAGCAAGTACTAGGGATACATAAGGACCAGTAGTGGTTCCTACTAACTAGTTTTCTGAAAAAGTTAGTAGGAACCGCTAACATGTTACATCTCTTAAGAACTGCAGAATTAAGGTAGAGTGCTTTCCTAGCATATGTAAGGCTTAAAGTTCAACTCTCAGCACCGAAAGAAAATAAAAATAAATAAATAAAACTTCAGAAGTCAACCAAAAATGGCGTAGCCATTTAAAACAGAGCTCAAGGAGCTGACTCAGTCTTAGCACTTAAGTGCCTGCTCTTGAAGAGGACCTGGGTTTAGTTCCGAGCACCCACATGGCAGCTCACAGCAGTCTGTAACTCCATTCCAGGGGATCTGATCCCCTCTTCTGACCTCTGCTGGCACCAGGCACACATACATGTACTACATTCCCAGATAAACATGCAGACAAAACATCCACATGCATGTTATTTTTTTTTAAAGGGAGCTAATACAACTAGCCGTTTAGAAACTCTGCTCTGTAACCATGAATCTTTTTACCTGGCAGTAAACCTGCAGCTCAAGATCCCTCCTGCTACAGTGACAGTTTTGTTTATTTTTAGTTCAGTTGTTCCCTGTCCCACCACTGCCAATCTCAGAACCCAACAAAGCAAGGGTGGGTGACACTCCCAATTACCCTCCCATGATGTGGCACAGTGTGCAACAAAATGTAGAGGCCTTCACGCAAAGTTCCACCCCTTGCTAACAGCTCCCTGAGATCTGTTTGCCTTCCCTCTGCTGGTGACAACCTGGCAGGGTCAGTGTAGTTAACCAGTGCTGGACGAGTAAAAGCAGTACATAAAAAGAGCTGGCATCTGGTGGGGCGTGGGGGGGGGGGGGGGGGGCAGGCTTTCATAAAGAGCCCAGGCCAACCTGGAACTCACTCCTCAGTCCAAGATGGTCTCAAACTCTTGACAATCCTCCTGTTGAGCCACCAAAATACTAGGATTACAGGTATGCACTACCATGCCTGGTCAGAGATGCAATTTTTACCTGCTATGCCATTTTACTCATTTTAAAAGAGACATTTAAAACACATAGATTCAGATCAACAATCTTTTTTTTTTTTTTTTGGTTTTTCGAGACAGGGTTTCTCTGTGTAGCTTTGCGCCTTTCCTGGAACTCACTTGGTAGCCCAGGCTGGCCTCGAACTCACAGAGATCCGCCTGGCTCTGCCTCCCGAGTGCTGGGATTAAAGGTGTGCGCCACCACCGCCTGGCCCTAGATCAACAATCTTTTTTTTTTTTTTTTTTTTTTTTTTTTTTTTTTTTTTCAAGACAGGGTTTCTCTGTGTAGCTTTGCGCCTTTCCTGGAACTCGCTTTGGAGACCAGGCTGGCCTCGAACTCACAGAGATCCGCCTGCCTCTGCCTCCCGAGTGCTGGGATTAAAGGCGTGCGCCACCACCGCCCGGCTAGATCAACAATCTTAAAAGTCAAAATGTAGCCAGGCCTACTGGAACACACCTATGATCACCACAGAAGGCTCAGTCAGGAGACAGGAGTTCCGGGCCAACCTGGTCAACACAGTGGGTTCAAAGGCCTGCCTGTTACACAACCACCCTTCAACCTCCACAGAGTGACACTGTAAGCTGGTATAAATGAAGAGAAAAGGAATTATTGAAATAAAGGGCTGTGGTTCCCAATAAAAGACCCTTGTCCTGTCTGACACAAACCAGGCAATGGCTTCTTGACTTAGCAAAGACCACACCACCCAATCCCTTGACCTTCCTCCTCTGGAACAATTGCAGATGAACCATTAGGGTCATGACAGTAGATCCGATTGGTCTCACACCCATAGTGGCTACTTTCTACATGTTTAAACTGAGATCTACATACAAAAAAAACCCAACAGCTTCACAATTAATTATTCAAAGGTAATCATGCTCTTAATGCCCTACTAACTGCCGATTAGATGAAGAAATCTGAGCACAAGGTCGACTTGCTAGATCTACTGTACACAAAATTCTGTCCCAGCAACATGCTAAGTTCCCTGAGGGCAGGACACTGTCTAATTATATGTACATTCTCTAGGGTGTAGCATATAAAGGCTATTTAAACTAACCAAAAGATTAGTACACTCAGAGCTGGAGAGATGGCTCAATGGTTAAGAGCACTGGCTATTCTTCTAGAGGACCAGGGTTCAATTCCCAACATCAACATGGCCACTCACACCTGTCTGTAACTCCAGTTCCAGGGCTTCTGACATCCTCACACAGACATACATGCAGGCAAAACACCAATGAACGTTAAACAAAAATAAATTTTAAAAAGATTTGTATACTCATATTCATACAGTAGCAGAAGCAAATCAGGTATCCATTGAGGGAAGAATGGGCAAGTAAAATATGTGCACTCACGCACAGACTGGAGGAAATTCTGCATACCCTACAATATTGATGAACCTTCAAGACACTCCACTAAATGAAACAATCTAGTCGTAAAAAAGAGAATATACTTTAGGACAGAAACAGAACGGGAAATGGTGGTTGGGAGTCCAGGGAAGAAGAAGCACTAAAGGAGGGAGCAGAGGTTAGTATTTCAGGGTACAATGTTTCCGTTTGGGAAGATGGAAATTTTCTGGAGATGTAGACCATGACAGCTACATAATATAAATGTACATAATGCCAGTGAACTAGTTTAAGTGGTTAAGTGTATTTTGTCACAATTTAAAAATTCAAACATTTGGGGCTGGAGAGATGGCTCAGTGGTGAAGAGCACTGGCTGCTCTTCCAGATGACCTGGGTCCAATTCCCAGCCGTCACATGGCAGCTCACAACTGTAACTCCAGTTTCAGGGGATCTGACACCCTCAGACCAATGCACATAAAATTATTAAACAAATTTAAAAAAACCTCAAACATTTTAGCTGAGTACAGTGGCCCACATCTTTAATCTCAGCACCTGGGCAACAAGGGCAGATGGATCCCTGTGAGTTCTAGCCTGGTCTATGTAGTGAGTTCCAAGACAGCCACAGCTACATAGTAAGACTCTGTCTTTGGGGGAGGGGGGTTGAATTCAAACATTTTATAAAATTATTGAAGGAATGTGAAAATTATTTCTAGAGAACATTTTTTGTTTGTTTGTTTTTTGTTTTTCGAGACAGGGTTTCTCTGTATAGTTTTGGTGCCTGTCCTGAAACTCACTCTGTGGCCCAGGCTGGCCTTGAACTCACAGAGATCCACCTGCCTCTGCCTCCCCAAGTGCTGGGATTAAAGGCGTGTGCCACCACTGCCCGGCTAGAGAACATTTTTAAAGAACATCTCTGCATTGTACAGATGAACTCAGAGCTCAACAGATCTGCCACCTTTTATAGCATACACCATATATAAACATATACACCATATATAGTACCCACAGTACAAATTACACCATGCCACTCAGCTTTAATGGTACAGTTTACCCAGCTTGCTTGCAAACCCAGGACAAAGTGGATCCTCTTTCCATAACCAGGACCTTACACACTACCCACTCAGCCCTCAAGACAGTCTAGTATAATATGTGCATTAAAAAACTGTGCCAACGACTACATGGCCCAATACATCACTAACTCACCAGGCAATTGGAGGGTGCTATCCCTGGAGATGCTCAAACCCAGGTGGGGCAATCAACTACTGTCATGGACTAGATGCCAAACAGAGGCAGATAAAGAATCAGACAACTAACTTCACCCTGCCTGCTGTGATGGGCAGATAAGGCTCAGAAACATTACAATGGCAAAAGACAAGTGCTCAACAAGCTACTGTTGAGTACACAAACCAAAAAGGAGTACCGAGGGGCTAAAGGGCCTGGAAGAGGGGGAGCTATCTCCTTCAAAGGTTTTTGAGCTGGATCTGAAAGGATGCATAGTTTTCCAGGGAAAAGGGTCAGAATATAAAGCAGAAAGAACAGCGGCCAAGAGGTCCAAAGATCCCACTGCTGACTGCCATCATGTGTTTCAGCAACCTCTGCAAGGCCCACTCTAGGTTTCTCCAAATGCAGACCTACAGATGGGCGGAATGTTCTCCTAAAATCCACCCAGTTCTATAATAACAGACTGCTTATGTTCAAATCGTGCCACTGTCCCAAAGGAGTCGCTTGACCTTGGGCAGAGTAATTAACTGCTCCCTGCCTCAGTCTCCCCATTTCCGGGGGAGTGGTGTAACAACTAAACATATGCCAATCACTTAGCAAAGGAACTGGCACACAGTAAGCCATCATAAATAAATGATACTGTTAATCACGACTTGCTGTACTAGGAGCACAGCAACCAGCGAGGCAGGGGGCTGTACCACGGCGCTTCCAAGGTCCTCCCTCCTAGACTCCAAGACATCCATTGGGTGCGGGGGGGATGGGAGCGTACAGCCGGTTGCACACCCTGCACGCATGTGTCACCGGCCAGGCTCGCACGCGCCTCTCCCCGCCCCAAGAAGCGATAGCTCAGCTGCCCCGAGACCCACGACCACCCCTCCAACCGGGTCCCTGACCCCACTCACCATGCTGGCCGGAAGGGGGGGGTGGCTCAGGTGAGCTGGCTCTTTGGATCTCACGCGTCCCGCTCGCACAGTTCAGGTCATGGTCCCGGCAGGCTCGGGGAGTCCCCCGCCCATGCAAAGACAACCCGTTCCCCACCCGGGCCCCGCCGGCACCTTTAAAAGGAGCACAGCGGCCTCATCGAGGAGGCCCGAAGCTATTCATCTAGACCTCGGCCCACCCCAGGCAAACGCAAAAGCAGGAAATGAGGAAGGGAGGCAGCTGTGCGGGGGCCCCCCGCCTGGGCCCGACCCCCAAGAGGGAGGTTGCGGGCCCAGGCAGGGACTCCCCGGCCTCCGCGGCCCGAGGCGGCGACGGGCCCGGCCGGGGCTGAAGGGGCGGAGGCTGCCCGGGCCTGGGCTGCGCGGCCGGCTCAGGAGAGAGGCCCGCGGGCCCGCGCAGTCCTCTCCACCTCTGCCCTCGCGGCGGCCCCGCTCCGCATCCCCGCGCGCCGCCCGCAGCCGCCGCTCGCCCCGCGCGGCCACCCCCAGCCAACAGCCCAGCGCGCCGGAAGTGGCGAGCACCAGGCGGCCTCAGCCCGCGGCCTGCTGCGGCGCTGGAACCGGACCAATCCGGAATCAAGTGAGGGCAGAGGAGGGCGGGGCCGCACCTGACGGTTCGCTGGCCCCGCCCACCTCGTCCCAGCCCTTAGCGGCCGCGGACCGCCGCGTTGGTAAAGGGACACGCGGCCATTTTGGTAAAGGAGTGGTTTCCCTTTCGTTTCTGTCGCTCATTCATTCCGCAAATCTTTTTTTGAGCGCCTTTCCGGACCCTGGCACCGGACCAGAAGTTCGGCGGCGCTGGACTGTGTATCTCCTGGGGCTTTTATTCATTCAGTCCACTGCTCTGGGTGCTGAGACCAGAAAGTGTCACAGGACGAATTGAAACAATGTTCCGGTCTTAATTGGCTTCATTCTCAATTCTAGAGTCAGACAATACTTAATAGAACAAAACACAGAACAAATGTTCCAACGAGCAGAGTAGCAAAAGTGGTCTTAGATCGATGAAAAGGGGCCTAGAGAAAGCAGAGCAAATCACTGGACTGTATGGAAGGTACTTATAAAGTTGGGGCAGAACCAAAGAAAAACAACTGGGTAACAACAGTGTACTTTTGTGTGTGTGAAGATCAAGAAGAGGGAATTTCATTATCATTCAAGTAAATGTAGTCCTAGAAGATTTAAAAGAAGCAAAACTGGTCTGAGCCAGCTATGGCAACTAGCCTATAATCCGGGGGAGGAGGGAGGAGGGAGCAGGGTGGAGGCAGCAGAATCCAGAGTTCAAAGTCATCCTTGGCTACATAATGAATTCAAAATCAGCCTGGACTACATGAGACCCTAAGTCAAAAGGCAGAGGGGGCTCAGCAGTTGATATGAACAGTCGACTCTTCCAGAAAAGTCCGGTTACACTGGTCGGTTCACAACTACCTGTAACTCCAACACCAAGGGATTCAACAACCATCTTCTAGACTCTAGAGATACCTACACCCACACACACGGCATACACATACATCGGTACACAAACATACATGTAAATTAATATTTTAAGGGGCATGGGAGCAAGGGACCAGTGACATGGCTCAACCTGTGAAGGCACTTGCTACTATGACTGACGACCCAACCTAAATTCAGACCTCAGAACCTGTGATGGTTTGACTAAAAATGGCCCTCATAGTGGTGGTGGTAGCACACACATTTATTCCTAGCACTCGGCACTCAGGAGGCAGAGGCAGGTGGATCTGTGTGAGTCAAGGCCGACCGGATCTACAGAGTAAGTTCCAGGACAGCCAAGACTAATTGGAGAAGCCCTGTCTTGAGAAGAAAAAGAAAAAGAAAAAGAAAACAAGAACGGCCCCCAGAAGCTCATATATTTGAATGCTTAGTCATCAGAAAGTGGCACTATTTGAGAAGGTTTAGAATGATTAGGAGGCGTGTCCTTGTTGGAAGAAGTGTGTCACTGGGGTTGGGTCTTAAGGTTTCAAAAGCTCATGCCAGACCCAGTCTCTCAGTCTCTCTGTGGATCAGGATGTAGCTCTTACCTATTGTGATGGTTTGAATGTAATTGGCCCCCCATAATCCCAAAGAGGGTGGTACTATTTGGAGAGGTGGCTTTGTTGAAGTAGGTGTGGCCTTGTTGGAGGAAGTGTGTCGCTGTGGGGGTTGGCTTTGAGGTCTCTTGCTCAAGCTTCACCTTGACAGACAGTCCACTTGCCTTCTGATCAAGATGTAGCCAGCACCATGTCTTCCTGCACACTGCTGTGTTCCCTGCATGATGATAATGGACTGAACTGAAAACCGTAAGCAAGCCACCCGATTAAATGTTTTCCTTATAAGAGTTGCCATGGTCTTTGTGTCTCTTCACAGCCATAGACACTCTTAAGACAGCTACTGTTCCAGCACCGCATGCTGCCATGCTTTCTGCTATGATAATAGTGGACTGACCCTCTGAAACTGTAAGCGATCCTCCAATGCATGGTGTCTCTTCACAGCAATAAAACAATGACTAAAACAGAACCCAACTGTGAAAAGAAAGAATAGATTCCCACAAATTGTCTTTTGACCATACTAGCATCAAGATGTGCTTGCACACAGACACACGTATGTGCACACACATACACATTAGGTCTCAGACAATCCATATATCCAGAAATGAGCCCCAGCTGGACTGTAGAGGGATTTCTGGTGGGTAAATAAAGGCATCATGCCTCAGGACTTGTGAAACAGGTTCCTGTCCCCCAGAAGGAGTCATTTCCCTTACCTCAAGCTGAAAGGACCTATGGCTCTCCACTGACTTACACCTGCGGCACATTATCAGCATATACACACGCTAGCCTCCAGGCTCCTACAGTCCCTACTCACAAGCACATGTTAGTTATTCACTTCAAAGACCCCACACTAGCATCCTGGCCCTCTTCACCTCCTCCTCTACCTAGAACTCCCAGGCCTGCTCTCATCATGGGCTGCTTCCCACCTCCAGCTACTCATCCTCCTATAACCCACATGATTTTTCCATCCCCCACACATGACCCTGCCCCACTCTCTCGCTTCTCTTGAAGATAGCCCTGGCCATCCATGTTCAGTCTACTTCTTTTTCTCTCTGCTCTAGATTCTTCCAGTTGCCTCTAGATATTTCCTCTCTTATTCACAATAAAAACACTGTGCAATGGTGGTGCACACCTTTAATCTCAGCACTCAGGAGGCAGAGGTAGGCAGATCCTTGTGAGTTCAAGGCCAGCCTGCTCTACAGAGCTAGTTACAGGACAGCCAAGGCTACACAAAGAAACCCCTCCCCCCCCCCTTTTTTTGGAGCCTGTCCTGGAACTCGTTCTGTAGACCAGGCTGGCCTCGAACTCACAGAGATCCACCTGGCTCTGCCTCCTGAGTGCTGGGATTAAAGGCGTATGCCACCACTGCCGAGCTTGAAACCCTGTTTAAAAAACAAACAAACAAACAGCCGGGCAGTGGTGGCACACACCTTTAATCCCAGCACTCAGGAGGCAGAGCCAGGTGGATCTCTGTGAGTTAGAGGCCAGCCTGGTCTACAGAGCGAGATCCAGGACAGGCACCAAAACTATACAGAGAAACCCTGTCTCAGAAAAAAACAAACAAACAAAAAAACTTTCCCGTAATGAAACAGCCATTTTGGTAGTTTCTTTACTGCACTCTTACATTTATTTATTTGTAAAATAAATGTAAAAGAGACGAGAGAAAGAGAGAGAGAGAAACTGGTCTACTTGAGAAATTGGCATGATTTCTCATAAAGTTAAAAAACTTTGAAGTAGGCATGGTGGCTCATGCCTTTGAGACTTGGCATTTGAAAAGCTGAAGGACTGATATGAATTTGAGGCCAACTTGGGCCATAGAGACCCTGTCATGATGCACCCTCCTAAATCCTTTAGTTTGAGATTGGTGGGATGGAGTTTTAGGATTACAGGACTCTAATTTGATGTTTAAAATGGTCTCTTGGGGCCTCCTACAGATGTTAGGTGAAAAGTTTTTGCATCCCAATAAGACTCTCTGCCGATGCAGCAATCCAAATCAGACCAAATTAGAAAAAGCACTGGTTTAATGGGTGAAGCATTCCCAGGTGATTCTCCAGCCCCCTAGAGAGGAGATGGGGAAGAGAGATTTTAAAAAAAAACAACCCACATGTCTGTTTTCTGGGGTGCAGTTTAAATACCCTGTGGGAGTGGTCTTGAGCATCTCTGGGGGAGGAACCATGTTTGGACTTTCTGAGGGAGGGTCTGGGCAGAGAGATGGGGCTTCCACTGGAACATTAGGAGGGGGTGTTTTGTGTGTGTGTTTTTCCCCAATAAGCCAATTAAAGAGACAAGTAAAGAGCAGTAGAGATTTAATCAAAGCAGCTGGCATGCAGGTCCAATCTACTGATACCATAGCACAAAGGGTCGGGTTTGGAATTTGGTCTTTGAGACAAGGGTCTCACTCTGTAGACCAGGCTGACCTTGAACTCACAGAGATGGTCTTGCCTCTGGCTCCTGAGTGCTGGAATCAAGGATTTATGTGCTGCCAAGGAATGAATGTGGTCACCACACAGAGAATACCACTCACTGCAACATGAAGTTTTCATCTACAAAGTTCATGCTGGAGCACCACACGGTGGAATGACAGACAAAACGTGCAAAGGAACCCTCATGACGAATAAGCGTACAGTGTTGTGTTGGGCCCCACTCAGAGAGCTGCCCTGAGTACACAACTGGCCACCCTTAGAAAGAGGTGAGACCCCCGAATGAAGTCACCGTTCTTTCAAATACCCAAATGAGCTTCTGGTTTAAATAGAAGAATGGGGCAACGGGCAGGAGGTATTCACAATCAGGCAGTCTTGTGAGCAAGGTGTAGTCCTGGTGGACCACAGCCGTCCTGGTTCCACAAGGTTGGAGGAACTGATTTACAGTCCTCACTAGAGAAGGGAACTGCCTCCCCGGGATACCGTCTTCTCCTCCCGGGAGCAGCCCTGGCATCCCAGATAATTGCCCTCATTTGGGGAGTGGTCTGTCCTTTGAGGCTTGTGGTTGCTCGGTGATAATTTCAGTCCCCTGTCATAAAAGTGTTTATGACAGCTCTCGTTTTCCTGGAATCCAAGGTAACTGCAGGTTTGGGGGCAGGGGGTGGGGGCAGGAAGGGGAGACTGCATCTCGAACAGGACACTGTAAAACAATAGAACAAAATGAAGGCAGAGATCCAGGCTTTCAACTTTCTCTTAGTCCTCCTGTGGCCCAGTTGAGAAGTACTTTTCAACAAAAACAGTTTCTAACAGCCCATTTAAAAAGAGCTTTGCGGGTCGCCCAGGCCTTTAATTCCACCACTCAGGAGGCAGAGGCAGATGGATGTTCAGGGACAGCCA